AGTTCTGAGAGATAACATTCAAGGAATCACAAAGCCTGCGATTCGTCGTCTTGCTCGCAGAGGAGGAGTGAAGCGTATCAGTGGTCTGATCTACGAAGAGACGAGAGGAGTACTCAAGATCTTCCTCGAGAATGTGATCCGTGACGCTGTTACCTACACAGAGCACGCGAGGAGGAAGACGGTGACTGCAATGGATGTTGTCTACGCTTTGAAGAGGCAAGGACGTACTCTCTACGGTTTCGGCGGTTGATCGATGGTGTTCTTCTAGGAACTGGGGATTTTAGGGTTTGTTGGAAGTTTGGGAATTTCTTGTTTCTGTAATCCGTATTATCCTTTTCATTAGTCTAAAAGTAAATCCACGAATTAGCTATTTTGCTTTTGTGTTCTGCTGTGTTACTCTTTTCAAGTTGTGAGAAAATCTAAAACGAAAGTTGAGGATGTAACCATTTGCTCAATTTATTGGCTTATTTAAATGGAGCTCTTAGAATCAGTATTCAATTAGCTTCTGGATCAGTTTGTTTTACAAGTCAAACATTTGATCTACTAGATTGGTTCTCATAGAGATTTGTAACTCTGATCTGATCAAGAGCATACTCAAGTCTGAGTTTGTTACCATAACAGTTAAAGGCATGATTGGAACATTCATCTCTCTATTACAAATGGAGCTTTTGATAGAAAGGAAAGAAAAAAAATCGTTTTCTTCTCTTCCGATTTACGATCTTCTTCCAATCTCGTGTTCTGCCGAGATTCTTCGACGGAACACCACCGCCGTCTCCATGTATGCCTTCTTTTATTCATGAAATTTCTAAGATATRATGAATTCAATTATGTATTGTCAAAGAGTTTTTCATGATTATGCAAAGTTAYTACAGGAATTCGTTAGTTTGTCGGTATCCCTGTCTAACTCTCTGAGATCTTATTCTTCTTCTTCAGTCTTGTTGGTATCTCTGTTGATCGATCTTGTATATATTTATATTTATTTTGCAGGCATAAGAAAGGGGTCTCTATGGGTACAGATGTTATCAGCAATCTGCCAGATGATGTTCTTGGCAAAATCCTGTCTTTCATTCCCACTAAACTTGCTGCTTCAACCTCTGTTCTGTCCAAGAGATGGAGGAATCTGGTTCCTCTAGTAGACACTTTTTCATCCGCACGAAAAAGACTTGGCAAGTCTTGAAAGTCGGCGACATCACTTCTCTGATTCTGTGGATAAAACACTCGCTCTGTTAGGCACTTCTTCTCCCATCAAGAAGTTCTCTCTTAAATGTGTTTATGCAGATGACAAATCTCGTATCAACAGTTGGATTCGCAGTGCCCTGCTGCGTGGAGCTTAACTTAGAGTCAAGCCATCATCTCGCTATAGATTCTGAATTCTTCACCAGCAACACACTTGTTAAGGTCACGATATATGATTTTCCCTGCACTCAGAACCCTTTCTCTCTTCTCAGTCGCGTTTCAGTCTCTTGAGATGCATAAGTTCTTCATCCATGGCTGCCCCGCGCTAGACGAATTATTCATATCTGTTTGGATGGGGTATTTGTCGAGTCCAAACGTCAAGCGACTAACCATCACCACTGATTTTGATGACGATTGGCATCATCGTGGCCTTACGCTTAACACACCGAGTCTTGTGTACCTTAACTACTCTAGCTATGTTGCGGAACATTATGATGTAGCTTTCGATTCGCTTGTCGAAGCTAGAGTGGATCTTCGATTATACGAGTCAAATATCTATGATGATGATGATTGTCCACTGTGGAATGAAATTTGTGGCAATGTTACGAGTCTGATTGATGGGATTAGCAACATTAAGAGCCTTTACTTGTCATCTCCGACTTGGCTGTTGTGTCAGGTGTTTTTCTTTACTTGTCATTCCATGCCGGTGCTCGACAACCTCCTTAGTTTATCTATCGAAAGTGACGAGCAAAAAGGCTGGCAAGTAATGCCACGCCTGTTCCGGAACTCCCCAAATCTACAAACTTTAGCCATCAAGGTAACATATTTCTTTTCTTTTTCTTTTCTTTGTTATACATATATGTCAAATGGTGTGATTTCTTGTTTGTGATTTCCGCAGGGTCTTGTGCACAGAGTTACAAGTTGGTGTGGAGGTGCTAGAGATTTCAGGGTATAGAGGAAGTCTTAGGGAGTTGAGACAGATGAGGCATTTCTTAGGGAAATTGAAATGTCTTGAAACTGTGAAAGTTGGTGTTGAACAAGACTGCAACAACTTGCGAGCTAGTCTTATGGCTCTTCATAGATTTTCATCAAAATCCAAGATCACTTCATCTGATATACTATAGATATTGTTTTTTGTTTTTATTAAGTTAAATAAAGTTGTTTTTTAGCAAAAGCATGCTTCTCAAATTTTGCATCACTAGTTTCTCACTCAGTGACACAAGAAAACAAAGCACTAGACAAAAAAATAAAGAATCAAACTATTGTCACACACACAATCAAATCAATGATATTTAACAAGTAAGAACTCTAAGACATTATTTGCTGTTTAACACAAATTTGAAAGGGAATATTAGAGTATGACAAAACCGACAACACTACTTAGATCCAGAGAATCACAGATCATCTTTAACTGAGCACCGTTTTCTGCCACTGCATGATCCTTCTGCCTTTCTACATATTTTCTGATTCGCGACTGCATGTCCTCATCCTCATTGGCGCCTGCTTTCTGTTGCAGCTCCCTACCTTTTCCAATAAACTTGGTAGAGATAAACCCAAATCCAAATCACATTTTATCACAACCTTAACAAACTAAAATCCTCTATTCCCATTCACCAGTTTTCATTTTCAATCAGATCTCACATGTCAAAATAAAATTTGTAATACGGTCAAGTATGGAAGAGATGATAACACAAAAGGTCGATTATTGTTAAGGCACTCGGTCTCTCGTGCGACCCTAGTACACGCGCTACCATACTACTCAAGAATTTATGGTTGGTGAAACACATTTCATACCTTGACAAACAAAAGATACTTGTCCATAATGGGAGATGATTGGTAATCATTCAAAGCATCACTAAAATTCTGCAGGAAAATTAAATGTCATATAGATTTCGAAAAATTTTCAAAATAGAGAAATGGAGAATTACTTACCTTCCAATGATCTTTAGATCTGCGAAGTAACTGGTGGTGAAGTCCATATACTTTAACGAGAAACAGTGAGTTATTTGTTGCAATCTTTCCTCCTTCAAAAACGCTTAACAACTTTTCCATCTTACCAAATTGTTAGCTTCTTGATCAGCGTATCATCCCCAATACTCAGCACACAATGGGAATTTCGCGAGAAACGTATCAAAAACGTTACATATTTGATGAATGTCTAATCTCGTCTCGCAATCAAATCATACCAATTAGCTTCTATATTCCCTTTGAACGTAGCCTTTTACATAGCTCCTTCTCATCTTCGGTAAGAATGTAACTGTTAGGCACCACCTTTACAGGAGCGCTGTTAGGCACCGCCTTACACGAGCCGAAACTGGGGAAGGTAAGGATTAACCCTCTGATACTCCTGAAGCTCTGGACTCAGCTACACATTATGACCCATACTCAAAACATCGGTGCCAATCAGAGGATTGGTAACCCATTGTAAGTACAATTTTTCTGTTGACTCGACGTTATAAAAAATTGTTGTCTTGATTCCTTGGCGCTGCAATTCCGTTAACATCTTTCTGAAACCTTTGTCGCCGCTAATGACGAGAACCACAATTTGTTTGACTTGAAGTTGTCTCCATATGGAGACTCTCTCCTCAATTTTCTTGGTCGCTTGCTTGAGCCTTGCTATGATTTGCAGGAAAAAAGTGGATACCAACTTGTTTCAGACGTTTGATCATGGGGAAACTGGCCCGTTCCTTCACACCCACGAGTTCGATACTAAGAGGGCAAAAAAACCCTAGACTTTCCATCGCAGACTTGATTGTTCCGTGGATTAGAAGAGGACCATAGGGTTATTTAAAATGTATTCTTGTATGTTTTAATCACTGGGTTTTTAACTGATCACACAACGTATTAATTAGTAATCTCGTACAACTTTTACTGTTAAAACTTGGGGAAAAAAAATACCATAATTGAGTTCACAAATTTTAAAAATACCCTATCTATAAATTCTTTTTCAAAAACCAACTCTTTTTTAATGTGATATTTTCCTGTAACTGAATGTGAACAATATGTGTTCCCAAACTCAATCTCACTTTTTTTTTTTTTTTTGGGTCGAACTCAATCTCACTTGAGTCACTAAA